TTATTATTATTAATTATTATTATTATTATTATTATTATTATTATTATTGTTATTATTATTATTATTATTATTATTATTATTATTATTATTATTATTACTGTATTATTATATTATTATTAATTATTATTATTATTATTATTATTATTATTATTATTATTATTACTGTATTATTATTATTATTATTATTATTATTATTATTATTATTTATTATTATTATTATTATTATTGGTAGTATTATTATTATTATTATTATTATTATTACTGTATTATTATTATTATTATTATTATTATTATTATTATATTATTATTATTATTATTACTGTATTATTATTATTATTATTATTATTATTATTATTATTATTATTATTACTGTATTATTATTATTATTATTATTATTATTATTATTATTATTATTATTATTATTATTATTATTATTATTATTATTATTATTATTATTATTATTATTATTTTGATTTGCAGTAGCAGAATCATCATCATTATCATCATCATCATTATCATCATTATCATTATCATCATCATCATTAACGTTAGAGGTAGAGTAAGTGAAACACGGTGGGATAACACCGTAGAGTTTTATGGATATTGTTTTTCCACGTTTTCATTGTCTCATTCTTTTTTCTTTTGACTTTTGTTGTCTGATTCTTTGTTATTATTATTATTATTATTATTATTATTATTATTATTATTATTATTATTATTATTACCGGTTTTAACTTATTTTTTTCGTGGTTTAACTGGTTTTATTTTTATTTATTTTCACTTCTCACTAAATCAACTGTTTCTTCTTCACTACTACCTGGTGTCAGTGTATAAGGTAGAGGTGTGAGGGAGATGGCTAGCGAGTCCCTCACATTTCTCCCATTAGTTTCCCATTACCGGTGGTGAGCGGGTCAGACGGGACCCCTTGAAAGAGTATCCGGCTCATTATCATATACTTGACCTTTCCTATACTGGCTGTAGTCGGATATACTGATGGAGTCTTAAACTAGTGAGCCTGCCAAGACCTAAGTGCTGGTGGTGGTAGTTGTTGGTGTGTGTGTGTGTGTGTGTGTGTGTGTGTGTGTGTGTGTGTGTGTGTGTGTGTGTGTTTTCTAAACTAAAATGTCTATATATTTTTACTTATTTATCTGTCTCTCTATTCATCTCCAGACTTTGAGAGAGAGAGAGAGAGAGAGAGAGAGAGACCCCTCGTCATTTCACTAAACAATCCTGAATAAAAAAAAATACACATGAACAAATAAATATAAAACGAGATTTGTGATATTGAGAGAACGAGGACTGTATTCATCCCTGTGTGTACATGAGAGTGATGACTGTATTCATGTTTGTGTACGTTTTATTCCGCCTCTCTCTCTCTCTCTCTCTCTCTCTCTTATATCTGAGTTTCGTTTTCCTTTTCGTCTTTGTCTCTTTTACTTGTGTTTCGTTGATTGTCTGTCTGTCTCTTTCCTCCTCATCCTTCTCCTCCTTTCTATCATCTCTTGCTTTCCCCTCCATTCGCTGTCGCCATCCATCTGTCTCCCCTTTCCATTCTCTCGTTACACACATTTCTCCTCTCCTCACCACTCACCTTCATCTACCCCCCTCTCTCTCCCTCTCACTCTTTAATCACACCCTCTCATTCCTCCTTTTCTCCCTTTCTTCACTCTCCCTCCCTCTCTCTCTCTTTTCCCTCTCACTCCGTTAACACCCTCTCTCCTCCCTCTCCCTCCCTCTCCATTCTCTCCCTCATATACCTGTCCTTCCTTTCTGCTCTCCCTCACTTCCTTCTCTTCCTTCCTCTACCTCTTTTTGTCATTATATTTCCTCTCTTCTCTTCCTACCTCCTGTTCTTCCTTCCTTCCTCCTTTCCCTCCCTTCCTTATCCTTCCCTTCTTCCTCCCCTCCACACCCATTTCCACCCTTTTTTCATTCCCATTCCTCTCCCCTCGTTCTCTCTCCTTCCTCCTCCCTCCCTCCTCCCTCCTCCCTCCCTCCCCCCTCCCCTCCACATCCCTCCTATCCTTCCTCCTGCTCCTACATCTCACGGGAGGGAGGAGAGTAATCTGGAATCTCTCGGGGAAGGTGATTGAAGCGAACGATCTTCTTGGAAACCAGAAATATTTTCATTTGGAGTATGTGTGTGTGTACCTGACCCTTGAGGGATAGTGTGTGTGTGTGTGTACCTGACCCTTGAGGGATAGTGTGTGTGTGCCTGACCCTTGGTGATAGTGTGTGTGTGTACCTGACCCTTGAGTGATAGTGTGTGTGTGTACCTGACCCTTGAGTGATAGTGTGTGTGTGTGTGTACCTGACCCTTGAGGGATAGTGTGTGTGTACCTGACCCTTGAGGGATGATGTGTGTGTACCTGACCCTTGAAGGATAGTGTGTGTGTACCTTTACATTCACATAAACACATAGATACATACTGTACAACTGTTGCACACACACACACACACACACACACACACAAACACACACACACACAGCAACAGTCAGCCAGGGAGACATTGGTGTAAATATATGGAAAAGATTACCACAATACAGGGGAGGGAGGCAGGTGGGTAGGGAGGGAAGGAAGGAAGGGGTGTGAGGGAGAGAGGGAAGGAGGGGCGTTAACCTGGTGGTGCAACTGCTAACTGACTTGAGTGATGGGTGTTTGTCGTGACCTTTAATCGTAGCGACCAGGGGGAGGGGGAGGGAACTGGTGGAGGGAGTGAAGGAAAGAGGGGGAACAAAGGAAGGAGGGAGGGGTGGGGAAAGAAGGTGAAGGAGCAGGAGGGAATGAAGGAAGGAAGGAATGAAGGAGGGGAGAGGAAAGGAGGAAGGGGAGGAATCTGTGGATAGTGTAAATTTTTATCGAGTCTCAGATGATTATTTTATATATTTGGTCATTTTATGTAAATTAAATTGGCTATTTTAATGTCATTATTTCCTTGATGTTGGCGTAACGTTATACTGATGTTACACACACACACACACACAGACACACACACACACAGACACAGACACACACACACACACACAGACACACACACACCACACACACACACACACACACACACACACACACAGACACACACACATCCACAATAACATCATCATCACACACACACACACACACACACACACACACACACACACACACCACACACACACACACTCCACACAGACACACACACACACAAACACACACACATACGCACGAACTGATCGCTATAAGAACAGCCCAGTCCCAAATCCATTGTAAAATTATCAATAACATGTAATAAATCAGTGTATTCGCTCCCAGCAAACACTGCTCCCTCACACTGTCACTATGTTGAAATGAACTGTAGTTTGAGCTTGATCCTCATCTAAGTTACTATATGTCTTATTTTGTGTCACTTATGTCACTTGTATATTATTTGTAATTCGTAACCCATTCCCCAAATATGTAATCAGACATTTTCAGCCTTCTGGCTGCCAAGCTCTTCAATAAAACCGTTGATTATTATTATTATTATTATTACACACACACACACACACACACACACACACACACACACACACACACACCTTCTCTCACCTTCACCTCCTCTCCCCCTCTCTTCTCCCCCTCCCCCCTCCCCACACCCTTCCCCCTTCATCACCTACACCCCTACACTCTCCCCTCCCCCACTCTAATACTCCCTCCTGCCCCCCCACCTCCCTCCCTCCTCCCCCCAGGCCAGGTGTTCGTGGGTATAATCCTTGGTTCGTGACAGGTGCTCTGGTCCTTAGCGATACGTATGTTAGCTCCAGTGTACAGTAATGGCGGGGAGAGACTTCATTAATATCTCTTGAGCTATTTATTTTCTCTGTCTTTATTATCTCAAACTTTTTTGGACGTCAAATTTATTGTCTGTACGTTGTTATTATTTGTCTTATTGTCTTTGTTATTACCTTTTATTATTTATCTTATTATATATTATCTCTTATTATCTGTTGTCATCTCTCATTATCTCTTATATCTCTTATTATCCCTTATCTCTCTTATTACCTCTATCTCATCATTATCTATAAATCTGAATTATGAAGGAATCTATTTAATTATTATTTTTATATTAATTTTACCCTTCTGCTAATTTATTTTACTTAAGATATAATTAATTTTTAGTGATTAATTATTTTCTATTTAATCAATTTATTTTATTTCCATTCGTATATATTTTATTTTAATTTTTTTATTAATTAATTTTATTCAGTAATTAAGTTATACATAAGTTTTTATTAATTCATGCATTTTATTATCTTATTCACTGATATAAATTTCCATAGGATGAAACATACATCACCTGTTATCTGCTTAATTAATCTGTTTTAATGTAATAAGAATATATTTAGTTCATACAGACGTGAATCACATATAATCGGTGTACCGGCAGCAGGTATGTTAATTTAAAGAAATATTTTAGCGAGGTAAATTATTCCCGTAAGTGAAATGTAGCGATTACCTGTACATCTTGGCCCCGTTACCTGTCCTAATTAATGTTGAATAAATATTTCTTTTATTTAACTTGTGGAAAAAAAAATATAGTAAAATAAACTCCTATTGTATTACGGAATAAATAATTTGTGATGTATTCTAGGAAAAACATCCTAAAACTTTATATTTTTCTTATTGTAAACCGGAGGAATTATTTTTTGATGTAGTGTAACTTAGGAAAAAAATGATGGTGGTTCCCCAAATGAAAGTGTAATAATGATCCAGGGTATTTTTTTCCTAGTGCGAGTGACTTATTTTTTTTTTCCTAGGAAGGCGAAGTTTAGGTAAGTGGGCCATTAAACGCAGCCCACCCTCCGGAAAAAATAGATAAAACGAGCTCGCATTATTCATCCTTAATAATGTGCCTGCCTGATCTATCTATCTATCTATCTATCTATCTATCTATCTATCTCACCATGTGGGCGTACTTACCATATCAAGGTCGTGGGCGGAGAGAGAGACCAGGACGGTGTCGGGGGTCGTACTACTCACCATATCAGGGTCGTGGGCGGGGAGAGAGGCCAGGACGGTGCCGGGGGTCGTATCTTCCCTCACAGTAATGTGGTCGTGGGGGCTGGAGAACCTGGGGGGGTTGTCGTTCAGGTCCTTCAGCTTGACGGAGACCCAGGCTGAGTCCAGGTGCCGGGGGTCGTTCCATCCTCCCCGGCCCTGTGGAGAAAGTCGTGTTAGATGGTCGTTTTCCCCCTAGTATGTTAATTTTCCCCCTTACCTAGTCGTGTTAGATGGTCGTTTCCTCCCTAGTATCTAACCTAACCTAACCTAAGTTCAATTTTCCTCGTGGCTGGTAATACTGAACGACACCTTTAATTAAGAAACTTTGACAAAAACACAAATTAAACTTGTGAAAAAAGTTCTAAATAACAATGAGTCAACAGCCATAAATATATTAAGTTTCTCTGTCTGTCTGTCTGTCTCTCTGTCTCTCTCTCTGTCTGTCTGTCTGTCTGTCTGTCTGTCTCTCTGTCTGTCTCTGTCTGTCTGTCTGTCTTTGCCTCTGTCTGTCTGTCTGTCTGTCTGTCTGTCTGTTCGTCTGTCTGTCTGTCTGTCTGTCTCTCTCTCTGTCTGTCTGTCTGTCTGTTCTCTTTCTTGTGTGTGTATAATTATCTGGGGGTATGTGTGTGTGTGTGTTTATGTATCTTTCTGTGTGTGTGTGTGTGTGTGTGTGTGTGTGTGTGTTTCTGTATATGCGTGTATGTATGTATGTATATATGTGTGTCAGGAATATATATATAGAGGGAGGTATGTATAAATTATTCATAGGTACACCAACAAATACATGGGCTTCGCTGATAAGATAAATTTGAATTGCATTTCACTTGACAAATCCTCTGGCAAAGATGCAACGTTGGCGGAGTTGAAGAACCTAAATTATCCAATGGAAGCAAAAATTTATATTCGGGGTTTTAGCGTCGGTCAGCTGGACTTACACACACACACACACACACACACACACACACACACACACACACACACACACACACACACACAAAATTACATGTAACTCGGAAATAAATTTACATATCCTCACTTAGGCCTCACTTCTCCAGGTAAAAACATTGGCTACATCCCCCTGAATCAACACAACCCTCGCACATGTCTATCTATCTGTCTTTCTGTCTGTCTGTCACTCACCTGGTCCGTCACCTGCACCATGAACTTGAAGCCTCCGCGGTGCATTTCATCCTCGTAGTCTAGTGGCTGAGTGGCGTACAGCTGTCCCACGGCACCCACGGTTCGAATCCCGAAGTGTTGCCACCCCCAGCCGCTAGACTCTACCACCTGAGAGAGAGAGAGAGAGAGAGAGAGAGAGAGAGAGAGAGAGAGAGAGAGTTATTATTATTATTATTATATTACCTTCGTTAAACCAATATAATTTACATACATACTCACGTAAACCTTAACTCCTCCCCATTAACCAAACACCACAACTACTAACCTATCACAGCTACCACCACTACCACAACTTTATATACCAGCCTACCACAGCTACTACCACTATTAACCCACACACACACTACCACCCCCACCACTACCATCATTACTACTAACCTACACGCCACTACCTCCCACACACCACTAACCTACCCCCACCACGACCCCTACCACCACCATTATCCCCACCCAGTCCACCTAACCTAACCACCTAATCACCCTGTCTCACCTTGTAGTAGAAGTAGTTAGCAGTATCACGGTCGGCGGCTGTTATCTCCAGGATGGTAGCGTTACTGGGAGCTTCTCTACCCCAGGTCTCGTCCACCTTCAGATCCCACTGTTGTCGTGCCAGGCGAGGGGAGTTGTCGTTCACATCTGCCAGGCGGACGATCACTGTTCCTGTTCCTGTTGTGGTGGAGAGGTTGTGGTTGTTATTGTGGTTGTTATTGTGGTTGTGGTTGTTATTGTGGTTGTTATTATTATTATTATTATTTTTTTTTTCCAATCTCACCATCAATTAAAAAAAAACTAAACAAAAAATAAATTAAATAAACCTTCAATATTCTCTCACTATAATTTTATCTCAATGACATCAATATAACACACGGTTAATATGGACCAAAAACCAGTCGTTCTCTGTGGACCTTGAGGGCAACACCTGGCATTATGGTGGGGAAAAACTCACTCCCGTAAAATTTCCTGACTGGAAATCCTTGCTTGGTGTGTGAGAGAGAGAGAGAGAGAGAGAGAGAGAGAGAGAGAGAGAGTGAGTTTACGCGTGTGTGTATGTGTGTGTATACGTGGTGTGTGTATGTTTATATGTATTCATATCTACGTGTGCATCCGTGACTGAGCGAGAGAGGGAGTCCGACAGACAGACAGGCAGGGAGCGACGGACGGAAAACACACTTCACAGATTTTTGAGAAATATATTGTGACTCTCTGCCTCCTGGACGGGCTGTGGTGCGCATGCGTGGAGATCTTGTATACTGTGCCTCTGGTCGTGGACACTAGCGCACAAAAACTGTATTTTACGCACGATAAAATAACAAAATATGCATCCTGTACTTCTGAGGAAGGAGACAGTCTAGTCGTCCCTCCTCCTCCTCCTCCTCCTCCTCCTCCTCCTCCTCCTCCTCCTCCTCCTCCTCCTCCTCCTCCTCCTCCTCCTCTCCTCCTCCTCCTCCTCCTCATTCCTCCTCCTCCTCCTCCTCCTCCTCCTCCTCCTCCTCTCCTCCTCCCTCCTCCCACCTCCCACCTCCTCCTCCTCCTCCTCCTCCTCCTCCCTCCTCCTCCTCCTCCTCCTCCTCCTCCTCCTCCTCCCTCCTCCTCCTCCTCCCTCCTCCTCCCTCCTCCCACCTCCCACCTCCTCCTCCTCCTCCTCCTCCTCCTCCTCCTCCCTCCTCCCACCTCCCACCTCCTCCTCCTCCTCCTCCCTCATTCCTCCTCCTCCTCCTCCTCCTCCTCCTCCTCCTCCTCCTGCTGCCAGACACTGAGACCAAACTTTTACAAACGGCGGTGAAAAGATCTGGATTATTATGACACGCCTTGTGGGGTGGGGGTTGTGTGTTGGTCTGTGTGTGTGTGTGTGTGTGTGTGTGTGTGTGTGTGTGTGTGTGTGTGTGTGTGTGTGTGTGTGTGTGTGTGTGTGTGTGTGTGTGTGTGTGTGTGTGTGTAGGGAAGACGATACAGGAGAAATATGATAACTTGAGGTGAATAGTGAGCTGAATACCTGTAATTATGAGAGAGAGAGAGAGAGAGAGAGAGAGAGAGAGAGAGAGAGAGAGAGAGAGAGAGTAGCACAGGTAAACATTATGAAACATCGTCACAGGTGTAGTAGACACATTTTAACACAGGTGGAGTCGGGCTTAATGAAGGACAGCGCACAGGTTAATGAGTTTGGTTCCGGGACGTGCTTCAGGTAACACACACACCATTAATGAACTATCTCTCGTTCACCTGTGATTAAGGTAGCAGGTTATAAAAGATGTTATACGTGTTAGGTTAGGTTAGGTTAGGTAAGGTTAGGTTAGGTTAGGTGGAGGTATAAGATGATGTTTGTTACACACACACACACACACACACACACATACACACACACACACACACACCCGACTCTTGACGTATCCATTAAGTCAATCTCATTAACATACAAATTGGTAGCCATTAGAGCGAGGCATCAAAATGGGGTCCATGATCATATAATTACTACTACTAAGGTGAGATCATTTTAATATTTTAGTGACACAAAAAAAAAAATGGGGCCAATTTATGAATGTATTCGCGAGCTTAATTGAAACTAGATTTTTTTGAAGTGATGTGACCCGTGAGTGTCTGTCTGTTTGTCCGTCTGTCTGTCTGTCTGTCTGTCTGTCTGTCTGTCTGTCTGTCTGTCTGTCTGTCTGTCTGTTTGTCCGTCTGTCTGTTCGTCTGTTTGTCTGATCTGTCTATCTGTCTGTCTCTGTCTGTCTCTGTCTGTCTGTCTTTCTTTCTGGATGTCTGTCTGTTTGTCTGTTTGTCTGTCTGTCTGTCTGTCTGAAGGTGTTATTGGTTCTGTCTTTTAATATAATGATGATAATATTAATAACGTTAATAAATAATAACAACACTCAAACTTACTTATGTTATCTTATGTTCCTCTTTTATCGTCTTATCTCATGAAATAATATTTATTCCAATTATAATTTTTTCCATGTCTCTTATTCGTGTTTCCAGTCTCTCAATAGTTTACGTTTAATAGAGAAACAAAAGTGAAAATAAAAGTATTAGGCTCGTAATCCGTGTTTTTCCCGCCTCAGTGATCCGACATTATTGCCGTTTGTTTACATGACCCAGACAAACAAACAGACAAACACGACCAATACTTGACAGTCTTTATAAAAAAAATTCGATTACTTTTTTTTCTTGTCGTTTTTTGTTGTTGAGAAATATGATACAATTTAGGGGTCATTTTAAGCGATTTGGGTTCAGGTGGGAAGGGTCATGGTGGGGTCATCGTGGGGTCATCGTCAGCTATGTGGGGATCATCCATCGTCATCTTAGGAAGGTCTTCGTCAACTAAAAGGGGGGGGGTGATCGTCAGCTCTGGAAGGGTGAGCGTCATCTCTCGGGGAGGTCATCGTCATCTCTCGGGGAGGTCATCGTCATCTCTTCCAAGGACGTGGACCATCATTGCTTCACCACTCCAGCAGTCGTGATGACATTACCACTTCTCTTTGATATCACGGGATCAATGAGGGAGGAGAGGGAGGGAGAGTGAGAGAGGGAGAAGCGTAAGAGGAATGAAGAAATGAGAGGGGGAGTGTGAAAGGGATGAAATGAGAGGGTAAGTAAGAAAATAAGGGGGAAGAGAGAGAGAGACAGAGATAAGGGGGTGAATACAGAGAGATGAAAGGGGGAAGAAGAAGGATTTGAGGAAAGGAGGAAGGGAGATAGAAGGAGGGAAGTCAATAGAAGGAATAGGAAGCGATGAGATGATGAGAAAGAGGAGAAGAGGGAGAGGCAGAGAGGAAGGAGCAAAGGAGGGGTGAGGCAACGGTAGAGAAGAAGATGAAAGGAGGAGGGGAGAAAGGAGAAAGAAGGGGAGAAAAAGAAGGGTGATTGGAGGGAATGGTAAAGGAGGAGAAAGGAGGAGGAGGGTGAATGAATGAAATGGTAAAGGGGGAAGGGAGAAAGGAGGAGGAAGGAGAGAAAGAGGAGGGTGTATGTATGTATGTATGTATGTATGTATGTATGTATGTATGTATGTCAGATACTCCCACACGTCTTCTCCCAAGAATTATGTCGAAAAACTAAAGAAAATCGTGAAGAAGAAAAAGCTCTCCCAGGTGACGCCGACACGACTTAGGGCCAGAGAGTCACCTTTCCTTTTTTAGGATAATGATGGTGGGAGTATCCTTGGGGCCACACTCCTTGGGGCCACACTTCTTGGGGCCACACTCTTTAAAGTAATGAGTTTTGGGGCCACACTCCTTACAACCATGGGTTTTGGGGCCACACTCCTTAAAGGCATGGGTTTTGAGGCCACACGCTTCGAGGTCATGGGTTTTGGGGCCATGAGTTAGGGACCATGTATTTTAATGCCACAATCCCTGAGGCCATGTTATAAAGTTCATATTCATTGGGGCCACGCTACCTGAACCACATTCCCTGGGGAAATATTCTGGAGGCCACATCCCTCGAGGCCACCTCCTTCGAGCCACCTCCCTCGGGCCACCTCCTTGGGGCCACATCCCTCGGGGGGCCACACTTAGGGATATCTCAGCTTTCAGATACCTGGTGTGTACCAACAATGGTCGGCTATATATAGACCACTCCATCTTGAGGCTAGGAGATGAAGGGGGGAGGGGGAGAAGGGGAGAGGAGGAAGGGGAAGAGGAGGAGGGGAGGAGAGGAGGAGGGGAGAAGGGGAAGAGGAGGAGGGGAGGGGAGAAGGGGAAGAGGAGGAGGGGAAGGGAGGAGGGGAAGGAGGAGGGGAAGAGGAGGAGGGGGAAGGGGAGGAGGGGGAAGAGGAGGAGGGGAGGGGAGGAGGGGAAGGAGGATGAAGGGTAGAGGATGTGGTGGAGGGAGAAGGGAGAGAGGTGGGGGAGAAAAGAACGAGGGGGACTAAGTGTGGGAGGAACAATTAGAGAGAGAGAGAGAGAGAGAGAGAGAGAGAGAGACCATCATATGTGTCACCTGGTATTATTTTAACTTAATAATGTTTACGCCACAACACTGGCCCCTCCTTTTTCCCCCTCCCCCTCATCCCCCCTCTCCCCTCTTCCCTCCCCTTTCTCCCCCCTTCCCTCCCTCTGCCCCCCTCTTCCCTCCCTCCCTCTCCGCTCCCTCCTTCCTCCTCTCTCCTCCAAACACGACCCCCTCAAGCACGATATACCATTCCTACCCCCCGACACGACCCCACTAACATGACCCCTCCCTACCAAAACGACCCCTACCACGACACAGCCAGGTGAGAGGTGAGGTAGGTAATTAAGGTCGTCTCCAGGTGTTCTTAGCATAATGTATATTCAAATTTAGAGGAAGGGGAGAAGGTGGAGGAGGAGGAGGAGGGAGGGAGGGAGAGAGAAGGTAAGAATGGGTGTGTGAGGAGGATAGAGGGTGAGGGAGGGGCAGGGAAGGAGGGAGGAACAGGGAAGGAGGGAGAGAAGAGGATAATGATGAGGAATATGGAAGGGTTCTTAAGAGAGATTAGTGACTGTATTATCTATATACATACTTAACTGTGTACCTGTATTTTGTCTATACATGCTTAATTGTATACCTGCATTGTTTGTATACATGCTGAATCAAAACAAACCTGTATAATGATTTCAGTGAATAGAAATGACTGAAGTTAACACAGCAGGTAGAGAGAGAGGACACAGGTATAGCGTGTACAGGTAAACAAACACTGGCAACACTCCATTACTAAACAGGTAGAGACTTGGTGTCTAAGTTTTACCTTCAGAAATAGTAACATTTAATAGTCGTGTTATTTGTTGATAAGAATAATGATTTATGAGGTCTGGTCAGGTCAGGTCAGCACGATACACACACACACACACACACACACACACACACACACACACACACACACACAGAGAGAGAAAACGTTGTATAAGTTAATGAAGGTCAAACTATCACACGCTTCGGAGAAAATGATTTTATTTTCATCACAAACTATTTTAACTGTTATGACTGCAGAATTTGGTCTTGAATGAATATAATTTCACAGTATAATTCTGGTTCTGTGTGTGTGTGTGTGTGTGTGTGTGTGTGTGTGTGTGTGTGTGTGTGTCGTGATAAAATCTGGTGAGGTATTTTCAGACACATGCATATACAGGGCATATATATATACAACACAAAATCGTTTAAAATAATAGCCAGATTTTAATATACGAACCAATTAAAATCAGAGACATTCTTCCTCGATGACTGTGTTAATAATAGCAAGTTAAAATAAATACCACCCAAATATTAACCTCTTTTAGAAGTCATTTATTCCTTCGTATCTTAATTTTTATCTTTGCTGCTGAAAACCAATTTATATATTAATTTAACCAGAAGGAGAAAGAGAATGATAAGGGAGAAGGTATCGTTCTCTTTCATTAGGTGAGACAATGGCGGTGAAGACAGTCAAAGAAAACCAATTTATTTTAGTGTTTCTTCAGGTGTGAGGAAAAACCTTTTACCTGTGTGGCGCCTCTCTCACGCCCTCTTGACCCCACACCACCTCCGTCGTCACCAGAGATTACACCGCCGCCTCAGCTCATGTTCAGAGAGAAGTAAGGTCATAGGTCATGTTATAGGTGATTATATGACCTGTTATGAGTGAGTTATTAAGAGGTCATGAGTCGTATTATTCGGTAAGAGGTGTTATGTGGTGTTATAACGGGTTAAGAGGTGTTATGTGGTGTTATGGAGGGTTAAATGGTGTTAGGTGGTGTTATGTTGTGTTACGAAGGGTCCAAGTTGTGTTACGTGAAGTTGCGTGACGATCCGGAGCTTTGCGTGTTTTTTAAGTAGCTACGTGTTTCACAAGACGGTACGTGACATTTAAAAAAACACTGAATTTTTTACTAGGCGACACAAGACACCACCACCACCCACCACCCACCACCACCACCACCACCGCCGACACCACTACCACCACCACCACCACCACCACCACCACCACACCACCACCACCACCACCACCACCACCCACCCACCACCACCACCACCACCACCACCACCACCCACACCACCACCACCACCACCACCACCACACCCACCACCACCACCACTACCACCACCACCACCACCAACACCACCACCACCGCCACCACCACCACCACCACCACCACCACCAACCGACACCACCACCACCACCACCACCAACACCACTACACCATCACCACCACCACCACCACCACCACCACCACCACCACCACCACCAACACACTACCCACCACTCCACCACCACCACCACCGACACCACTACCAACACAACTCACCACCACTACCAACACCACCACCACCACCACCACCACACCAACACAACCACCAACACCACTACCAACACAACTACCAACACCACTACTATCACCACTACCAACACCACTACTATCACCACCACCACCACCACCACCACCACCACTACCAACACAACTACCAACACCACAACTGCCACCACTACACCACCACCACCACCACCACCACCACCACACTCACCATCAACCACCACCACCCCTGGGGTGAGCCATGACAGAGCTGTGACAACCCACCTCACTCACCTGGGTTTTTCTTTCAGCTGTTTTATCTTTACGCCAATTAAGGGTCACCTGGGCTTGATGGAGAGGGTAGGAGGGGGGGCAGTGTATTGACGTGACACTCCTATACCATATCAACTCTTGGGTGTGTGTGTGTGTGTGTGTGTGTGTGTGTGTGTGTGTGTCGTGGTGGTTCTAACAGCTGGTATATTATCGTCAAGTCCTCCTCAGTATCTCTAGACAGCTGGTACAAAACTCCTCAAACACCCTCTGTAGACAGTTGGTGACACTTACCTTTGAGTCCTCCGCCGTCAGAAGCCACCACCTGGATGTTGTACTCAGGCGTGGTCTCCCGGTCGAGGCAACAGAGCGCCGTTCTCACCAGGCCGCTTTCGGGGTGAACGGCGAAGATGGCCTCCCCAGTACGTTCATCGATGACGTTCTTCTCGATGGAATAAGTTAACCTGGCGTTGGTTCCTTCTGTGGCGTCGTCTGCATCCCAAGCTGACACGACTGCTACGGACAGATCTGGTAGAGGGAGAGAGAGCAGGAGCCGGTGTTAATGAGCTAGGAGAGAAATTTCACTATGGTTCCGTTAGATACCTGTTGGTGGAACTTTGGAACGGGATGAATAAATAAATGATGAAATAGAATAGCGAATGAAATGATTAAAGACATACATTTATAGCAAACAAATAATTAAGGACGCGAGTGAGAGCTGAGGACGTACTGGAGCGCCTGGCGTGCTGGTTTAGCTGCGTCTGGCGTGAGTTATAAAGAATGGTTGGATCTATTAAACGTGTCGTCTCATAGCTTCGTCGCGCGTCATGTGTCTGCTGGTGGTGGTGTGGTCACGTCTCTCTCACCACCATATAAATCTTGGTACAACATTAAAGTTTCACGTTATCGCCAGCTCCAGTTTTATTTATTACACCTGCCTAATGGATGACCTCCTCAAGAGATCCCCGGAAGATAAGATGTTTTTCAAGGAGTCATTTAAAATGTTTTTTATTTTTTACATCTTTCTTACACAACTTTTACTACTCTTTTACACTTTTTTGCATAATTTATTTATATATTTTTACAGGCTGTTTACATATATTTACACACTTTTTTACCTGTTTTACCTGAAACTTATAATATATTATTTTCAAGGAGTTATATCACACACACACACACACACACACACACACACACACACACACGCGCGCGCGCGCGCGCGCAGCTGACTTATTGAGCGGTGGACGATGTTGTTCCGTGTTTTCGTCGCCTTGTTACATGTTGTTAATGTAATACTGGGGGACCCT